GAATGATGAGGGCAATGAATGTACAAATGTGCTTTACACAATTGATGTATGTATAGATTGTGATAAGAGTTGTATGAGCCCCTAATAAAACGATTAAAAATAAATAAATAAATAAAATAAAAATTTTAATTAAAAAAAAAATATTTAGTCTCAGAAACCTTAGATAGGGATTCTATGACTTTAAATTGAATTAATGGCAGTGGGCAAGTAGTAATTAAAATATGGGAACAATTTAAGTTTTGACAAGTACAAGAAAATTTTCTGAAGAACATGAAACATCAGTAGAATTTACATTGCCAGAAGACTAGGAAAAACACTTCAAGTAAAAGGGTAAAAGAAATTACATTAGCAATGAGATGGAGCTCAACATTAGCATATTGTCTCTGGCTTGTGGAATCCAGATTGTTGTTAGTTTCCACTGAGGATATTCTGATTCTTAGATAACCCTACAGGCTGAAGTAGAAATGCCTCACAGGTTTTCAGAGCTGTAAATCTTTAGGAAACAGACTGCCACATCTTTTTTCCATGGTGCAGCAGGTAGGTTTGAATCCCCAACCTTTGGGTTAGCAACTGTAACTGCTGTGCCACCAGGACTCCTGGGGTCAGAATGAAAACAAAATAAAACAAAACCCATGACCATTGCAGCAAGGGAGTTTGAACTGCTGGCCTTGTGATGGCAACCCAATGTCCCCAGGGCTCAGGAAGGCAGGAATGAGAAAAGTAGAAAACTGGGAGATAAATTAAGCAATTTATCATGTTTGAGTAAGAAGCAAAGGCATTTGAAATGTTCGAGCGGGTTCTTCTGTATTTTGGTTAAGGAATGTCAGGGAAATTCGCCAGAGAAACTTGGCATAGAAGGAAAATAAACACACCACACAGATAAAATAGCAGAATTATCAAAGCAAGAGGTCAAGGGGGTAGCATGGAACAAAAGAGAAAACATCTAGTAACATGTATCGGGGAATAAAGACTACAGGACGCTGACCTATTGGGTTAAGTGAGGAAAGCAAACAATCAATATGGTTTCAAGTTTTCCATAGTAGGTGATTCAAACAATGATACTTCCTTTGACAAAACAGATGTGGAGCCATTTTTCTTTGGAAGTTGTGTTGATAATAAAGGTGTTGGTTTTATATGTTTTGTACTTTAAGGGGACAGTGAAATATCTGAGGGAAGATATCTTATCATCAGTTACATATTCTAATTTGAGCCTTGATCTGGAAAGAAGAACAGGAGATAAAGACCTCAAAATATGAACATGGTTATCTTTTCTAATGAGAGAAAAGAACAGTTTTTAGAAGTAAATAGGGAATTGCAGTTTATGGGCGGAGGGCTAGGGCAGGATGCTCTTGAAGCAAGCCAAAAAAAAAACGAAGAAAGGAAAAAATAGAAAGTTAACAAGAAAGCTCGGTAAAACTATTTAAATGTCATTCTCTCTGTCGTGTAGTTTAAAAGAAGCCTGAAAGTTCATTTCTTCCATGTTCTAACGCTGATCATTAATGTAAGACTTGGAATGAGGGGTGTCTAAATGGGTTCCTTTCTCCAGCAGCCTCCAAGCTATGTCAAAGGGTTCATTTTAAAAGTCTAAACACTAAGAATGTTGCCAAAACACTCTGCATTCTCCCCTCCCTTACTCGTGGAGATTAGTTTGCTTCCCCAAGTAAGAGGGACTTCACAGAGCTGCTCGGGGATCCTAATGTGGGAGAACAAAGACTAGTCCTAACTGTCAGCTAGAAAATTTGAAAAACCAGAATCTGTCTCGATGAGGACAAAAGACTAGTACACTATTGGCTTTTACTCACTAATAGTTGTTGTGCAAGAAGCTATCCCTCACTAGCAAGTTAGAAAGCTTTGCCTAGCTCATCTGATTTCTAGATATTCAACTACAAACACACACACACACACACACACACACACACACTACATTAGAGAAACAAATCCACAGAAACTCATATGTATGAGAGAGAGTTTAATATAAAGGGTAAGTGTACATTAAGAAAAGCATTCCAACCCAGTGTTGTCCAACCCCACAAGTCCAACATTAGCCCATATGTCCAACACCAATCCACAAAGTCCTCCTCCATCTCACAAAGCACATGCAATGGTGCCGACAGCAGGAGGCAAGCCAAATAAGTGAGCGTGTAAGCATCTCAGCGCTGGCAGGGATCTCCACATGGCTGCTCCAGCACCCAGGGCTGCATCAGGGTAGGTCCATGTGGCTTCTCAGCATGTCTTGCAGGGAGTGAGCCTTGCCAGCTGTAGCAGGGAACTGGCTAAGGCAGCTGCACCCTGGTTCGACCATCATAAAGCAAGAGACCTGAAAACTAGAAAGGCGAGGCTCACCAAGCTATTTATCTCTCCACCCTTCAATTAATCCCACATGTGTTTATTGGCCAGGCTGGCACAATAAACCTTAATGATCTCACACACCAAAAAAATACTTTATTAAAATAATTGCCATCAAGTGAATACCCACTCATATAACTCTGCTCCACAGTTTCCAATGTTAAAAATCTTTATGGAAGGTAATTGTCACGTATTACTCCCACAGAGACACTAGTGGGTTTGAACCACTGACTTTTCAGTTAGCAGCCTATTGTTAACCATTGCACTGCCAAAGCTCCTTAGGAAAGACCCAAGGAGTCCCTCAATCAATAAGAAAGGAAGCCAATTCCAATTCAATGTGTGCCACAGTAGAACTGTGCTCCACGGGGTTTTCAGTAGCTGGCGTTTGGGAAGTAAACCACCAAGTTTTTATTTAGAGGTACTTCTGTGTGGACTTGAATCTCCAATTTTGAAGTTAACAGTCAAATGCATTAATGGTTGCACCACCCAGAAACTCCAGAAGTTCCTAACTAAATGGAAATAACTTAAGCCTACTGGATGACTCAAGACTTGCTAATCACCATCTTCATTACAGCCACCAACTTTCTCTGAAACTGTTGATGGCAAAAAGATGAGTTCTCACTAGAAAAATCCCACTTTCAGGAGACATGTTGGGCATGGCTAAGCCCACATTAAAGCTACTGGACTACCCTACTAGAAGGCAACAAGCTTTGCTACAGCCTGAAGAATGACCTAAGTCTTAGGGGGAAAGCTAATTTACCTGGAAGCTACTGCCATAGCCACCATTAACAATCAAAGCCACTGATAATATCACAACCACCAAGCTACTGTTGACATTGTCTAAATATAGCTGCAATAGGAGATTATTTTAGGCACAAACTCCAATAAACATGTTATCTGAGTTAATTTTCACAGCCTGCCTAGGTCAAAGCTTAACATCTGCCTGTATAGAGTATCCCAAACAAATTATCTTCAGACTGCTTCAGGAAAACCTGCACAGTCAATTAACTTTTCCAATTAAAGACAACTTGTCAGATTATGTAAATAGCCCCTATAGTATTTCTTATGGTCCTCATGGAAAAACAACAGCCATCACTTG